TATCAGATTAAACTGACGCACGTACTTCATGTTCTTTACTCTCCTTTTTTAGCAGGGAAAAATCTTAAAGACATTGCGATATCATGATTTCAAGCAAGGTGAGTGTTTAGTTTCTTTTTAAACTCGAGAAGTCATAAACATGAATCTCGTATTTCTAGAGGATTATCTAAAGAAAACCGCATTATCGACGTATCTGACCTATGATTTCTTAATAGTCGTTTCAAATTGCAAGCACGTGAAAACATTTATACCAACTTTTACGACAAACCAATATCAAATGAATATTCATTCTGAAAATCTGAATAATTCCGGTTCGGATTAGGAATTCTAAAGATTCACCGGAAAGTGACTCTTCGCGCACAAGTCGATTGCTATCGAGAATACCAGTACTCATGGTACTGTATTTAGAATTCGACCTACAAACTGAAAATGCACTGTACGTACCGGAAAAGCGGCGTATCCTTCCTTCCGTCCATGGAAGAATGAGGTTAAACCGCGAATGTCGCAAAGATTTGATCGTGCCACTGGACAAAGATAGATTGAACTGTGAGTTTGCAGGGACCCGGTTAAATTAAACCATGTCTGTCTGACCGAGGTCAGGGTAAAACCTACTGACGCGCACTCTCGTTCTTTCTGCGTCGTATTAGTCTCGCGACGCGCGTCTTCTCTCGGGGTGTTATGTTTCCCTCCCTCCTTTTCTCTTTCACATACGATCACCCACACACACACATACACACACGGTATTTCATCCCCCCCTAGCTATTTGCTTGTCCTCTTTATTTGTCGGTAGAAAGCGATTGAATGAGAATTACGTTCGTCGGGTTTGAGGTTTTCTAACCTATTAAACCGGGATGTGTAGTTTGCCTATTGAAAATTCGTTTTTTTCTACAATTAACGTTCAACTTGGCCAAGTTTTGCAATTTACAGTTATTTTATATGATTGTAACGTAGAATCACGGTCAATGCACCATCGTAAACAAAAAAGGTTCAGAATACGTATCTCGAAACTGTATACACTTCAAACGCATGCGCGCTTCACCTAACCCTTTTGAAAACACGTTATTTCGAGGTTAATTCGCATAATAAATGATTTTTACGCTCATGAGAAATGTTTACCAGAAATGTTAGTAAATTTTACACTGAACTGGTACGTCGGAAAATTTTAATGTATACGGAACTTCGGTACCGGACACATTCCATCCAACACGAGTATATTTGTTATTCATGATTTGCATGAATCGTACCGTACGTAGTTTTTTGGACATCCCGAGAAATGTTGCGAAATAACTAACAATGTCTCATGATTTGATTGTATACGACGAAGGATACATGGTGAATACAACAACAAACACTGAAAATCAATGAATCGATTGGTCGTATTTATTTCACACTTGAGTTCTATCACGTGAGCATGCATCATGTATCGTGCATATGTCCAAAAATAGAAGTTTTTTTGTGTTTAATTCATACCTCATTGCGTAATTTCCTCTTCTCTTTTATTATTCGTCGTGTCTCTACACTTTTCACTCGTCAAATAGTACTTTTAACACTGAACATCAGAGAATAACGATTAACACTGAAGCAGACACCGGTGACGCACGCGCATGCGTTCTACCTCTTTCGATTCTCTTTAGCAATAATATTTAAAGCGAATATTACCACTTGGGCATGATAGCTATGTTAGATAGATAGCCAAGATGATATTTTTAATCTACAACCTTTTTTCTCTTACGTAAGTTTCATCATAGCAAATATTATATCCTTCAAGATAAAATGTATATGCAACGCTTTAACCACAATGTGAATCACGTCTCTTTTCCACATGTTTATACGAATTATACCTATGTACGTATATATATTTAAGGTGTGTACTTTAGGTTAGGACCAAGCCAAAAGATGGGGCAACCAATTGAGTCATTTGAATACCGACTCAACGGTGTTTAAAGAACTAGTTTCCTCTGTTAGTAATCTCACATGAAATTATTAAACTTGTCTCACTCGTATATTGAATAATATTGATTTAAATTAATCTTTTCTATGGTATTAAATAAATTTAATGACAAATTTCTTTTATCGTTGAAATTGACATATAAATTCTCTTTGTTCGAAGATTATTAAATATAATATGGATTACGTTAGTGTAATATTTTTGCATCAATTGTCATAATACGACAAAGGTGCACGCATATTGGATGCCTATAGAGGACAATGGGAAATCGATATGGCTTGGATATGGTACGTGTCACTCGTACGTCTGAAAGCGTTTGTTCACGTAGTCAATGCGTGATTGAGTGATGAGTGCAGCACGTTGAATTCTGAAGAATTGCATTCGGCAGAATTGGAAGCGGAGGTCAGGCATTAGGCCAGCATTACGAAATGTCGGGAATAGGGATCTCATGATCTTGACTAGGAACAACGACCTGCCAACCCCACTCGTATCTCTACGGCGAATGAGAGAGAGAGCGCATCGATTAACTTTGCAATTGACATTAGGTTTCTCGATAACGTGGCTTTGAATTATCGCCTAAGATTAATTTCCCTCTTGGAACAAGCACGCCGTGGCTTTGATTCCTCTTTTTTGAACGTGGAATGAAAGGATTGTGAACATATCAAGGGCGTAGATTTAATGACAGGTGGCGTGTTTCTTTCATAGTTAATCCACCGGAAGTGTTACGCGTATCGTCCAACCAGCCTTGATTTTCTATTGAAAAACATACTTCCATTAATAACGACATATTTCATGTCCACTCAAGGTTTAACAGTTTATTGTAATAATATATTATTCTACTCGTTGTTATTCGTACATATATTAAGCATATTTATGATAATTTTTTAACTTTTTCTCGAAGATGCATAACATACTCAGTAGAATATAAAGTATTATTTGTTATACGTAGCAATATTATGTATGTTATTTTTTATTATTTCATTTTTCCGTCATCATTCATTAATTCTATTTACTTCGTAACGAATGAACGAACACGAAAAAGTGTCTTGCTTAAAGAAGGTTTAAATATAGCTTATAATAGAATAGTCTGGCATATTATGTGCGTACTAACGAATTAAAAATGTTTCAGTAATGATATAACTAAGGGCTGTGTCTGGTAATATCTGGTACAACATATTTTGTATACATTTGTTTATACGCGTTACGAATTATACTCACGTAATAGTTTTATAGATTTACGAACTTCGCTCACATTTAAGTTTGTTTTTCACTATCATGTTGTTTATTCATGATGCACTAAGATTGAAGTTTGACGTCATTACATTGACTTTTGCCTTCGTTGATTTGCACTTAACAATTAAAAATTATTGCATATTTATTTCAGCGTAATATACATTTTTACTTTACACAACCTCTCCCTTACCTTCAACTTTGTATTGTTTTACTTTATTTTGAATCAATTTATTAAAATAACAACTTTACAGATAATAGAGTCGTTTATTTCTTTCATTATTATTTGCACAAAAGATTAATCTAAAATAATTGATCTCTTTACTAATATTTCAGATTTTACTAAACATTACATATTTGAATCCTATAGAAAACAGTACAAGCATACTTCATAATCTAAACCAAACGAAAGCAAAAAGCATAATAATCATGAGAAGAAGACAAACGATAACTTTATCGACGCGCAATCAGATTATTAGTTAACTATATGAAACACGAGATGGCGCTGACATACCATCTCTAGCGAATAACATATACATATAAACCTTACTTCTTCGACATTACAACAGATTACGTAGTACCTTTCAATTATTTTAATCGGAAAGAAGAAAAAATCAATTATTAATTTAACATCAGATAGACGCGTTAAATGGAAAGTACGAATTATCATTCATCATTTTCTTTCATAACACGCGTATCTGATGTCTATCAGGGGGTAATTAGGGAAACGTATGATTTTCCATTATCGTATGATCTACGACGAAACATGGTCAAATGAATACGTGTAACCTTTCGACGTACGGCTCAGTGATCCCAGTGAATTAAAATGATAACCGGTATCGCGTGAACGTCTCAAATTTAATTAAGCCGAGTCACGTTAACGTTTTACTACTGCAAGAACCTCCGGCGATTATTCTTCTGCTTATAGATTTATAGCGGAATTATAGCCGCGAGTCCTGTGTATTTTTTGGCGCTTATATTCCCCTGAAATTATGTGAGAATGACTTTGGCAAACGGCCAACGTTCCGCGGACTGTTCGGAGACAACATGTACGGAGCAACGAACTTTAGGAACCGTCACTTCGCACAAGATTCTTTCTCAGTGTCAGCGCATTTTTAGCTGTAAAATTCATTAACAACGCGTTTCTTTTTTTCTCCTTCCGAAAGTATTTTAGGTTAGTTATTTCGAAGTTATTTCGAACGGATCAGTTAACATTCGTATCTCTGTCCGTTACACGTAGGAAGTGGTTAAAAGTTAGAAGACAGCAGATTTGTATGTTCCACAGAAATGATACAAATATTTCTAGGTTAGAGAAAGACTAGTTTCGAAAGTTACTCTCCAGATTACCACGGTTTTCGATAAGGGACTTTCCGCTTAACCACCGGTTATTAGAGGCGTTGTTCCTCCAACGGAAGCCAGAAACCGTCTGCGACCATAATACGCCCGACACAAGCTGTATAAATGTGTAGGAGATAAAGTATTCTCAGTAGTGAGCTCGAAACATTCTTAACATCGCACGCGAACGACCGCGGCCACGAATCTCTAGCTAATTCCACGCAAGTGGCTGCTTTTGTGCCATCAACGGCGTAACAGCATTATTACGATAAAATTAAATTACGCGCATGCAAGAATCGTCGTGAAACACTTCGGCGAAATCGTGTCCCAGCTCTGGGGACTGTAATTCAAGCTCGGCGTGCAACGTTCCTCGTGCACACGACCGATTGCATCGATTCCCCGCAACGCACCGGTCGATTTTGAATCGTAATTACCGCATTCATCTCGCGTACATACAGTGCACGCGTAAGCACGCCGTAACGACACAACATGCAAGTTGTTACACGGCCTGTGCATCTACTACACATATGTAGATTTAATCTACGGGTCGGTAACTTTGTTGGAAGTAATTTTCGCTGGGTAAGAATAATCTTGCGTTCACACGTCGCTTGGAGCTTTCGTCAGCCGAAGTTAGGGCGCTGCCTAAGCTGGAGGTTAGGGTTGCTGGGAGTCGAGAGGAGCCATGGAGGTTTGGGGTTAACGGAACGGTGGTACTGGCGATAGTGGCGGTAGAAGTGGTGGTGGTGGACGAGGAGGAGGAGGAGGAGGAGGTGCTGGTGGTGGTGGTGGTGGCGACGGTGGCGATGGTGGTGGTGGCGACGGTGGCGATGGTGGAGGTGAGTGAGCAACTGCGCAGATCCCGAAGTCTCTCAGCCACGAGTACGTAGGCAAACTCCGATTCAGTGAGGACTGACTGTTCCCGTTTGCAGTGCAGCTCGAAATCTCAGGGAGAAACCGCGGTCTTTCGTCCTCTCTCCTCCTTCTCTCTCTCTCTTTCTGTCTCTCTATCTCTGTCTGTCCGTCTTTATCTCTCTCTCTGTACACGTCTCTGTCCTACGTCTATCCGTCCCGCTTTAACCATCCACTCTGCCTCTCCCGTGTCTTTTGTTGTTGAGTAGTTTCTCTCACCGCGGCAAAGCGTACGTGTTTAACTTTTCTTCGTTCGACCAATCGTACCTGTCTGTCTGTCTGTCTGTCTGTTTGTCTCTGACACGAAGCTCGTGCACGAAAGCCGCGTCCTTCGTCTCGCTTTTTTTTTTTTCGCTTAGCCAGTCCATACGACGACGAGCTTGTCCGTTTGGCTGGCTGATGTACTACACTAGCAAGCAGGGCTCGTGTCTCGCGCAAATTCCGACTGTTCCCCATGGCTAGTCACGTGGCTGGCCAGTGATTCGAGGGAATCTGGTTGGACCTCGCGTTTCGGACCTCTCTACGTGCGTTTCGGATGAAAGGTGCGTGTGCCAGTTGATCGACGCTTGCTCGACCGTTGGACGATTCGCACGGGCCGGAATCGGTGCCCGAGAGAGACGTGAGTGCGAAATCAACGGTGCACCGCAGGTCGATGTGCACAACTCCGGGGAGACTTACTGAAACTCCACGTCTGTCGGTGTAAGTATATACTCGCCACCCTTTCTACAACACGCTGACAATGAGTCACGAACGAGTGTCCGCCTCTAGCGGTGAGTCAGCTGGACACGAAACGAAAGAATCGCCACTCTTTTGTCGGGTAACGATACAAGGCTTTTTTTACGTATGTGACATTGAGTCCCCCGTGTTAATTGTGATTAATCCTTTGGCAGCGTATTAAAAGGAATTAAGTACACTCGCGCGAAATGGGAGCTTGTTGTTTTCCTTTTTTCTTTTTGTGCCGAAAATGAATGGTAATTATTTCGTTATACTTTACCTCGCTTAACGAGTGCACCGCGTGCAATACACTTTAATGCACCGGGGCGCGTACATGTGTAACTTCATTTCACTGTAAACGTCTCTCGGGTGCATTAAGCTGTTAAAGGATTAATAATTACACGGTACATATATGCACACGTACTGCTCGTCATAATCTCGTGAAATATTACTCAAAAGTCATTTACATGGTATTAAATAGAGTATTCTAAACATGGGGGGGAGGGGGGGAAATTCGATATTTTACCATTTAAGCCACCAGATATCGTATTCAAGGATAAAAAAATCTTCTTGACCAACCGACGATGATTTTCGATAAACGATCGAATGGACGCGTGCACGCGCGGCAACGAATTACTGTGGACAAAGCTTAATACGATTTCGCAAAAATCCGCGGCCACAGAAGGGAGCACGGTTCAATGGTTTATCGTTAAACGTGGATATAACGTGGGCAACGAGCGAATCGAGTGAACGACGGCAGTAGCGGCGACGGCGATTTCGTGAACTGTTAAATATATTAAATCACGTCCGTCGTCAGAAAACATGTATTACCTACCTAGCAGTAGGGGAGCCACTCTAGTCTTCCGAACTTCAAAATTAATTTTCTAATATCGAAAAAAGAGAGGAGGGAGGAAAATGGTCGACAGTTTCGAGCCCAGATACGCTTCTAATCCTGATAACTCTCTTTCATGGGGGAAACCCCTCGTTAATGAAATGCACCCTTACCCCGTTACCACAGCGATATCATTTTTCTGACCGTTGAAAATCCGCCCGAAAATATTCCTAGCAATTATTAACATCGGCTTATATCGCGGTTCCAGGTATTAAGTACGCAGTGGAATGCACGTTTCTCCGCCCTTCCTTTTATATATCCCTTTGCATCTCTCCCTTCGTTACGGAATGAAATTTTCGTCCTCGTGTATATCGAGGTTAGGACTAGGGGAATATCGGTGAAATTGAACGACCTCGTTGCGACGGCGGCAACACGCTGCGACGACACCCTAAGTAGTATCGACGAACTTCATAAATCATGCACACGTCCACTTGCTTCTCGTCGACAAACACTTGCCTACACTCCGGTTCAAATGTCTGATTAATAATGTCCGATGTGTGTGCACTCCGCGAAGCAGATTGCCTCGGTCTCGCGAATCACGTTTAATATACATACATAGCTACGAACGTTCGCGTCCGCTTTCCGAGCGATCTTCACCGTCGAACGTGGCGATCCTATTGTTTGCCTTCCCCGTTCAACGTTTGTTTGCCCTTCGTTTTTCTTTTCCCTTTTTTTTTTTTCTCTCAATTTGGAAACCGATGGAATTCTGCTTTCAACTGGATAACAGCATCGGTGTTCGACTGAATTTGATATTAACCATTATTTCTGATAATTTAAGGCGAAAGTAAATTGGAGAATTTTCGAGGTTAGGATTATATCGGATTTCTACTTTTTCTCTTTCAACTTTACCGGCGTTTTCTATTACACGTTTATGGTCGCGAGGAACGAAACGATTTATGTTATATTCGACTTTTGATACACGGCGGATTTTCAACAGGCGGTATGATCGCGAAATTGTTTCTACGCGAGAAAATATAAATCGAACGGGTGGAATAAAATTTCGCCGCGCTCGATGACATCTCGTTTTAATTTTTCCCCGTACACTCTGCGCTTGTGTTTGTTATATCTGATAATTGGGGGATATATGAAGTGGTTCACTTTTGCAATTCGTTTTATTAGCTGGAAAATGTAATCGTTTTAAGGAGATTTCGTTGGAATCCCATGGTTTTGATGCCGCTCGATTTTCATTCATGGAATCGCGTTAAATTCATCGCGTATGGCAATAACGAGTATCGGGAAATTAAAGGGGGAGAGAAAAAAAAAATGATTTTAACGCTTGAGATATTAAAAAAAAAACAAAACAAAACGCGAAGTACGTAAAAAAAAAAGAAAAAAAAAAGCATTTGCAGAAAGCGTCTCCCTATTTCTCTCTCGCGGAACCACTTCAACATTCGTTCAAAGCTATTTTTCATGTCACCGGTAATTTTATATTTCGACACTTCAACACTCCACGCATTCCCTTCGCGGGGAGAACGCAAAATAAAGGAGAGAGCCGAACGTAAGGGTAAAAGGAACATTGAATTTATATTAACACATCGTGAACTCTTTATTTCCCCGCCTTGTAAAAACAAAGGAAAGCTCACTTCTGAAAATAACCACGTTAGAAAAAACCCTTTCCAACGAAAATTCACGTCTAGAAAGGAGAATTTCCCCCGATAACATTAGCATCTACAATTTCGCACAAATGCACCGCCGTTCTTAACGCAATTAAAAACATTCACCACGTACCCCGGGAAATTCGAACGATTCCATCGATCTGATCGAATCAACGCGAAATCACCGCCTCCAATTAAAAACCGTACGCTCCTCCAACCTAAAACGAAACCCCAGATTTCACACAATTAAAGTCGCAGCCTGAATGCACCATCCGATACGATTGCTTTCGAATCGATCTCCAGGCACCAGAAGAGCCACACTCCGACTCGATAGAGAGCCAAAGAATCGAGAGGGAAGGTATGATTATCGTGAATCTCGCGTTTGTTCCTCGGTACCGTTTTATCGTCGCTTAATAGAGAGAAAACAAGGGATGAAAACGAGGGAAAAAGACAGAAAGTGAGAGAGGGGGGGAAAGGGATAGAGGACTCGTGAGAAATTTTAATAACCGAGGGGATCCCCCGGCTACTTTTCTGAAGGAAAGCGATGGTCGATCGACTTCGAACTCGCTCGTGGTAAATCACACAACGCACCTGGCCTGGGTGTTCCTTGCCCACGGATGAACGCATCCGCTCGTGCAACACTGCTGGCACTCTGATTAGTTTCCTCCTGACTGGAGAAAAGGTATTCCGACCGGCGCGGCGATCGCATTTAAAAACCGTGGCCTGTGAAAATGGGCCACAAATGCGCGCGGGGCGAAAAGGCCCGAAGGGGCCGAGATGAAAGTGCACCGGGACAGTTTATGCCCCGTGTAGGAATTTTCGCAGCTTCCAACCGAGCGGCAGCAAGTTGCATCGAACGGGGGTAGGATGAAAGGAACGAACGTTGAACACGGTTATAAACGTGTACGATGGAAGAGAGGCGGGTGTGTGGGTTCGTGTGCTTTCTCGATAGGCTAATTAAGAATTTCACGTGAATCAATTAGAAACAAAGTTCTTCCTCCGTCCAAAAGGGACTTTTGTTTTGTTAAAAGAGATCGCGGCGAATTGAAAGTTACTAGATTTTCCTTCCCTTTTCTCTCTCTCTCGTTTTGTTCATTAAAGTTGTATGTTCTCTTTTTGATTGTCGTCGAACGTTGGAAATGGAAGAGGGAATGATTGATGTTTTTAAACCGTTAAACATTCAAGGAATGAGAAATAACGCGGTAGCTGTGTTTTATTTATTAAAGTATCGCTGTTTCTATTTTATTACCAGAATTTCGACGATCGATGCGGTACAGTGTGGTATGTAATACCGTGAATATTGGATGTATCAAAGGGATGATCATTTGTAATATAGGTTAGGTTAGATTATCAGGTAATGTTAGCAGCTGTTCCATG